GAGCCGAACACGAGCCGAACACGAACACGAATATTTAAATCGAGCCGAACACGAACACACTGTTCACGAGCCGATTTCGAACACGAGCCGATTTCGAACACGAGCTATTTCGAACGAGCCGAACATGAACCAAGCCTGAGCTCGCTTAAGCTCGGCTCGTTTACAGCCCTATGTCCAAGAAGAGTAATGATCCTACCCAACACCTTTGAAATGGTTTAAATTGATTTTGGTTTAAGTTGAATCGACGAAGTGGGTACCATTGATGTAGATTGTACATTCTTGTTTGAAAATAACCGATACTTGACTCAATTATATTTCAATATATAAAAAACTATATGATACCACCAATGGACATTTTGTTACCAATGTTATCTGGTAAAGCTTGGTGTGACATTCTGTTTCAAAGGATATCAACCTTAACAAGGGCATCGAAATTGGATTTGGAATATGAGGATTGGTTTGTATGGCTCTAACAGTTTTAGTAGTTTGAAGATATGCTCCATGACCACTAGGGACAAGCTTTGCTCTCCCAAATGTCGCACACTTGCTGCCATGAACATAACTTGTGGCAACATTTTTTTTTTGGAGGCATTCTTTACTAATAAAACAAGTCATATTGATTAAATAGGTCAAATAATAAGTACAACTTTTTGTTAGTTTGGAAAATATTAAAACATTAACCATCTAATTTAATATAAGAAACCAAGTTAAATGATGCCTTGATTTGATACCATATGTACGCCTAAAGTATTGAAGGTGATACATCCCCATAATAAGCTCTGTAATTAAGGAAATCAACCACTTCCCTCATGTATTAACTCGATTCTTAAGGCTAAACAAAAGGATTCTATAATACAAGTAATGCATTGGTATTGAATAATATTAAAAGGGAAATCAACATAAAGTTATTATTCATTGAAAAGAAAGGGCAAAAAAGTTGTAGTACAAGAACTAAATGAAGAACATAATACTTACACACTCATAACACAAACTCGATATTACCATGTTACTACTGATGCTTTCGTATTTTTTATTCAATGGTTGGAAGAAGTAGAATGTCATAATAATTGTAGTTGGCTGCCTTACCTGAAAGGTTCTGAGTGGGTCAGTCAATATAGCTATTTTAGGGGTGAGATGATTATCTTTGTTCTTTCTAGATTAACGTCAACTAATTAACTTGTCTTTAACCAAACTTATATAACATTTTGAATGGCATGTTTGGAGGATTTATTATATAAAACTTTGTGGAGCTTTTGTAAGCTTAAATATTTTTTATTGTTTACGAATTGCGTGAATCAACTTATAGTGGCTTTTGTTAGTTTAAATATTTTTTATTGTTTACTAATTGTGTGAATGAACTTATAATAAATTTAAGGTTTAGTTCTTACTGTAACTTTTTTCTATTAGGTTTTTAGCCTAACCCAAACCCCTACTAAATTGGGGAATTTCTAGAAGAAAACTTATTTGGGCAAAGTTTAGTTTGGTCAGTAGATCTTCATTTTGTTGCCTGCTTGGTGAATTTTTGATTAGATGGGCTCATGTACAAGTATACTAATACTATGCTTCATCAACGATTATTTAGACACTGGCTTTGATATTTTATTGATCATTTATGTCAATGGAAATCTTGTTTTTCTCATGAATTGATCTACCACACTTTATTTCTTATTTTCAATGTCTGCATCTTAGAAGCACAATTATTTGAGAACATCTTTTAGACCAGTCATCCTTGCTGACACTCTACTTCTAATGTTCCTTTGTTGAAAGCCTATACTAGAATTTTATTAATAGTAGAAGTTTATCATTTGGGTTAGAACTGATGGCCTTTCTATCCTATGGCTTTTCTACAGAAGGCAAAATCAGTAACCAGAAAGATGAACTTCTAATTGTTAATTAGTGTGCTTTCTTTAGTGGCTTTTTAATTAATAATTGAATATTAAATTGTTAGTGAAAGAAATAAAATATTTAAGAACTTATATTCTCCGTCCAACCGTTTGTTCTTGTATTAGGTAATTATAAGCTCCAGGCCAAGTCATGACCAGTGATATCAGAGCAATGTTTAGATTAAATAGCATGAATGTTAATGAAAGAGTTATTATGATGATTGAATTAAGTTATGAAGGATATAAATTAAAATTTTAACTTAGTCTATTTAAATTGTGTTACTTTTATTTTAAAATTATGGATAATTAAGAGTATGAGATCATGGATGATATTGTAAAAAACTGACATTCTCTAGAATATTACTATCAATACTGATACATTTGTTGAACTGATGACTATTGTGATGAAACTGATTCAAAATTCTCAGTCCCAAATTTGTAGCAGTGGAGGAGCACAAATAAATAAATACTTAAACACTATTTCATGATATGAGACCATCATTATTTTCAGGAGCAGGTAGACCTCAGTAGAAGCTAAAAATTGGTTGATGAGGGTGTAGAAAATTATAAACGGTAGTAGGGAAGTTACACTTGTTACATTTGCTGCCGAGGGGGAAGCGAAGAGATGGTGGCAATGGCAATTACATGAGAAGTTTGTTGATCGACTTAGACACTTTGTACAATAGGATGAATTTATTAGAACTTTCATAGATTAGTTTGTACCATTGTCAGCTAGAAGACAGATGAATGATAAATTTATTAGGTTAGTTTAGGAAGATCGATCGATCATATAGTAAAAAGAAAAATTTACTATGCTGTCGAGAAATACACCACAACTTGTTTCAAATGCATAGGAGGAATGCCACAGATTTCTTATAGGATTAAATGATTCAATCAAAAAACCATGAATGTCACTTGAGATTGAAGACATTCTGCTCTAGTGGAGAGGGTTAGGTGGGCGAAAATTGATTCTAGTAGACTGTAGGGAATTGCACGAGAGGAAGATCTTAGAAGAAATGAAACCAACCGTTCATTTTGGAGGGTCTAATGGGAAGAAAATAAAATCATATGCAGATGGAGTTAATAGCCAAGCTGATAGCAACACTATAAATCCTTGTGATAAATGTGGGAGATTGCATTGTGGTGAATGTTGATTTATTTTTAAAGTATGTTACTTATGCAAATAACATTGACATCATATTAGAAACTGTCTTAATTTTTCTCAATGATCCACATAAAAAAACTAACTCAGGAGGGGTTTAACCTAGAAGAATTTTCAAG